TAAATTGGGGAGGCAGTATTATACATGGGTTATTGATAATTTGATTTTTTTATTCTTTTTAATCTCAAAAAAATGATGATCRTATTGTACTCGAGATCGTATTATACTTGAATAAATACGGTAAATGTTTGCCGCTGTTGTGTGACGGACTGAGGTGGGCTCCAACTCTTCACCGCTACCTTAAATCAGGTGTAGAAATTAAATAAATGCTTTTGAAATTTGTTATCYGCTTCAAAGAGGAAGGTTTCCAGCAGCACTTTACTTCTTCCAGGAGCCATTTGTCCACTGTAGCTTTCTTTACGAATGATTGGAGCCAGCCCTTCCCCGATCTATCGACCTCAGGCTAATCACAGGCTGTGTAGAAGCTGAGAGCGCCGTTTGAAGTGCGCTGGCCCAGACGCMTGGCTGATTGGCTTGAGTCGAGACCCTTCACAGACAAAAGACATACAAAGTAACACAAACACGGCTACTCTCCCTTAATGTCAAAAGAAAAACTGTTTGAGTGCTCTGTCCAGGCATTTCAGTTAAGTTACTGCGTTCATAACCAGTCTATGTCAAGGTCCTGCTCCCTAAGCCCCTCACCTTATTCACTTCCAGCCTTGGCACTCGTCAACACCGTCACAAAATGGGAATTTGAAAGGCTTCATGGGAAATGTGTGCTTGTTGCGTTAAGCGTYCAGCATCTAAGCCCACAGTTATTTCCTACACGGTTGGTCTTGCCTGCCTGTGGCATAATGGCAGCTTGCAGGGTGGGGCAAAGGCCCACGTGACAGCAGCTGTAATCCCTACAGGCACACAAGCACAGCTGGGAAGTGTGTGTGTGTGGGGGGGGGGGTCCACGTCCAATCGTAACACAGCTACCTCTGGACGTGCCGGCCTCCTAAGAACCATCTAAATCAGGGGTTCTTAACCTTTTGGACCTCTGGGCCCAATTTGTTCAACATAAAGTGACACGAGGCCCAGTCACACATTACCATATGGATCAAACTGGTAATTACTCTAAGGCTTGGTTTAAAATTATAATTATTCTAAATCTTGGTTTAATTTGTATTGTATTTGCATTATAACTAAATAAAATACACTTACAGTTTAAAAGTAAAACTCCTGTCAAATAATCACAAGACATGATTATGACAAACCTTTTTTTTATATTGTAACCTGCCTATAACAACTATTTGAACAAATACAACAGTCAGTCAACAGACCACTCAGGCTTATCAGCACAAAAATAACATTTTTTAGCATAAACAACAACAAATATAGACAATTCAATAAATAAAATTGTGATCATAAAATAGATACATTCAAAAATATTTAATGTAAATGTTAAAAAAAACTGTAAAAAATGAATTTGATAAAGTCCAAATGAAAATAAAGCCTTTTTAAACTTTTGCATGGCAGAACCAGAAGCTGCTTTTCATATTAGTGGCAAACAATAACAGTAACAACAGCTTTTTGACAAAATGCTTAAAAATAAATGACAAACATTTATTTTATAAAGCGCAAATAAAAATATAGCTGAATCTGCAACTGCATTTGATAATGTTATGAACTTTTAAAATATTGCCTGGTAGAACCAGAGGCTGCACTTAATATTAGTGACAAACTTTGGCTTTTTTTGATGGGTTACCTTTTTTTTGTCTTCTACTTTTAATTTAAAATAGATTTCCATTCTCGTCAGGTTTCTAAGGTTCTTCTTTTTCGTATTAAAGAAAGTTGTTGACCATCTGAGTGGCGCACTACCGCTACTAGTGGTGAGAAAGTGTATYGCACCTTATTGAAAATCAAAGCGGTCCCGCGGYCCAAAGTTAAAATCTGTTGTTCTTTTGAGGCCCTCAAGTGGTGCTCACGGCCCATGGGTTAAGAATCTCTGGTCTAAATCACATCTGCTGCAGTTTGCAGAGGAAAGAACCGAAATCAGAGACATGGTTGAAGCTCACGCCTGTGTCTTCTCCTCAGGTTTGGTCCAGATTCCAGTCAGCATGTACCAGACTGTAGTRACCAGCCTCGCCCAGGGCAACCGTCCCGTTCAGGTGGCCATGGCGCCCGTCGCCACACGCATAGACAACACTGTCACACTGGACGGCCAGGCGGTGGAGGTTGTGACCTTGGAGCAGTGACACTATGGACCTTGGGAGGAGCGGAAAGCACTGAACCTTGGAGATTTGTTTCTCTCCTTTTCCAAGACAACACATTGTGTACAATGTTGGATATATTTTTAAATGTGTACATCTGCAGGGGAAATTAAGTGGTTGATAATGCATTGTGTTTACTATGTAAAGATATTGCTTTTGTTGTTGTTTTTTTTTTTTTCCTTATTTTTTTTAGCTCTGGGATGTTGAGTGTTTAGTATTTATTTCCTTACAATTAACCCAAGGATAACCAAAAAGCCTGGGAGCAAAGCCACCACTGCATCACTCAACGGACTCAGTGTTCTGCATTTTTGGCACAATCTCTGTGCTTTATTCTTTTTTTTTTCTTTTTTTTTATGCATCTAAAAATTGGTACTATAGTCTGAAATTTCCCTTCTGTTTCTCGTATTCCCGATTCTAAAAATCCTCTCCGTCTCACGTGACTCCTTCTGTACAGAGCACCGTATCTGCACTCCCATTAACGTTTCTTCATTATATGAGGATTGCGTTGAAATATCCTCCTGTCGTGCTTTTTTCCCTCTTTGACCGTAGTCCACAGACATGCCAAAATGTGCAGCGACTCAGGATATACATCATTATGTTGTTTACTGCTGTGATTGCTGAACTGCAGTCCTTTTTGTCAAATTTATTTATAGTGCATGGATTCCGAAAGGCACCCATTAGTGTTATTTTTAATATGAACTTCTCTCTTTGGGTCACTTAAGCCTAAGTGAGCTATATCACTTTATACATCACAGGAAGTTGTACTTGGATAAGAGCTGCAGTATTTTTGATGCAGAGGAGCATTTTAAGCTAAAACAAAATAATAATGCTTATTGACAATTGTATGCGGCTTTAACCGTCGGTTTAACCCTCATCAAACTTGTGTGTTTGAAAAAAATGACGTCCAATAAAATGATTGCTGTTTACTATTTCAAATGGTTTCTTTTTGTTTTTAAGTGTGCTGCCTTAGCATAGCAACAATTCCTGCCAATTGTCAGGCATTTGTTTTAAAATATGCAAATAAGATAAGGAACAGCAGCGATATTTGGTTTAACGAGTTGCTTTAAAATTCTTCARTACCTAAATACATTTTTACATGTTAAAAGTTAAGTAAACTCAWAGAGCTGGGCTATTCAACTGGCAGCCCGCGGGCCACATCCGGCCTGCTTGTGACTCCCGTCAGGCCCCACTCCTCAATTTTTTTATAATTTAATTTAATAGCTTTTAAATCAATTTTTAATTTATGATTCGGTGCAACAAAATTAATTTAAAAAGTGTTTCCCTCACCATTATCAGGCTACGCCTCCCACATCTGATATCCAAGCCCTGAGCTGCTGGCTTTGAGTACATGTGGCCCCCTGAGCAATTTAGTTGAATAGTGCTGTCATACAAGATACAAGTGACCCATATTTTAATATGATTTGTTTGCTTTTAGAGTGTTTCTATACAAATTGCACAACTGAACAAACTCCCATGTGTGTTTAGTCATGGTGGTCCACTTGCCACAAAACCCGATAACCTGTCCACTCTGCTCCTCTCCACCACCCCCCACCCTCTCTGCAGTGACAGACAGGACCTGGATTACATCATAAGCTGCCTGAACCTCTGCTTTAAAGCCTGGGATTTGCTGGCAGGGCCCTTCTGTTGCAGAGCAGAACAGAGAGAGAGAGGGAGAAGCGTTCAGGCCCTAATCTATCAGGCGTCATAGCGAGGATCCTGCTCTTCCTCCAGATTAAAACCGAACCGGGCTCCGTTCAGATGAAAAGATTCCATTTTCTTGTATATACTCTCTTCTGTCACTTTAGACTGGGACCCATGGGTGAGCTGGAACTTGTGATTCTGTGAGCATGCGTGCCTAGCTGTGATGTGTGCAGCTCACATGCAAACTGCCTGTAGATTACAAGCCTCATTGGCATGCTTTCTTGATAAAAGGCCGAAGTTTCTCCCTCCTCCATCTCTGCACYAAACACTCACTTGTCTTAAAGGGATCCCTGATTAGTTGTAACATTAGACTTTATTTGATAAACATATTTTAACTGTAAAATAAAGACTAAAAATACTGTAGGCTGTTTAGTTTTTATAATTTTTTAACTAAAAGTTTAAAAATATATTACACGGACGGAGCCATTTTATTTACASACAAAGCWTTCTGGGTAAATGATGACGTGGATAGGTCCTCGGTGCGAGGCTGCTAGCGAGCTATRTCCACMCTGAAGGTTAATCTTGGACAATACCTGATGATTGGATCTTTTAAATGAAACCAGAGAGCGTTGACAGAGAGGAGAAGGTAGAAATGACTCAGCCTGTAACTGAAAATATGGATGGAGGATAACAGAGCTGCTTCATGGAAGAAGAACCTCAGCTTAGCCTGTTAGCTTTAGCATTAGCCCCGATGCTCTCCTCTCGTCACTGAGGTCCTCAATCCACATGACAGAGAGGGGAACGCAAAAATTACTCAGCCTGCAGCTGAAAATATGGATGGAGCACCTCATTTTAGCTTGTTTGTCACGCTAGTGCCAAGCTAATACATATAAGGCAATATAGCATCAGTAGTACTAGCGCAAAGGCTAACAGGCTAAGCTGAGGTTCTTCTTCCATGAAGCAGCTCTGTTGTCCTCCATCTATTTTCATTTACAGGCTGAGTCATTTCTACCTTCTCCTCTCTGTCAACGCTCTCTGGTTTCGTTTGAGACGATCGACAGATATTGTCCAAGGCTCAACAGGTTAACCTTCAGGGTGGATACAGCTCGCTAGCAGCCTCGCACCGAGGACCTATCCACGTCATCATTTACCCAGAATGCTTTGTGTGTAAATAAAATGGCTCCTTCCAGCCTACAGTATTTTTACAGTCTTTATTTTACAGTTAAAATATTTGTTTATAAGATAAAGTCTAATATTACAACTAATCAGGGATCCCTTTAAATTTGTTTTGATGTTCATTGAAAATTTTAAAATAGCTGTTGCTAACATTTAGAATCGGTGTCTTTTTGAAGAAAGCTTATCGATATAAGCTGGAAGGTTKCATCTGGTCACCATGACTTATACCCTCCACGTACCAAACCATCCAGTTTACATGAGTTTTGTGACTCTGTCTTCGATATGTTTATTGGAAAGAAGAAAAGGTGTCCTTGCTCCTCAGCCGACGGACAGGGCTGCAGCCGTGGCTTCAGTGGTGTTCCTCYACAGGGGGCACTGCAGGGTGAGGGAGGGGCTGCGCGAGCAGAGCTTTAATCTCAACTAATCGCTTCTTAATACGTGCATCCCGGGCCCTCCACCACCTCTGCATGCATGCACACATCTTCTCCACACATGAGCTTTCCGCTTGCTCTAACAAGATGTAATCTCCTGCTCTTCCTCGGACTACAGGGGCTGGAGCCACAAGCTAAAGGGAGCGTCCCCCTCCAACTCTGTAACCCCACGAGCGTTTGGGTTCAAACACGTAAACCCTCGGACGTGAGATGGAAAAACGGTTTAACGATCTGAAAATAAAGTCATAAAGCACAGACCGGTTGCCGATGAAGCGTCTTCTCCTTTAATGTAGGATAATGGTCTAATAATGGCAAACGCACACCTCTGTCCACCTCCGAGCTCAGACACTGCGTAAGAACGCCGATAATCTGATTTCACTAATGCTCTGCATTAGAACACAGGAGAAGCACTGTCTCGGCTCGGCTCGACCCGCCCAGGAAACTGTGTGAGTCAGTCAGAGACGGAGAGAGAGACACCCAGGGAAGAAAGGGGCCTGCAGGGTGGGGAGGTGTGCGGGTGGTGGGGGTCTGTGGGATAGAGCATGCACGCAAAAAATGCGGTGTAACCTGAGCTGCTCAGCCCATCTGGAGAAGGCCTCGCATTGACCAGGGTTATCCCACAATGCACTTTGCTGCAGAGAAGATCATTAGAGGGAGGCTGACACAATGGATGCAGTCTTTTTTTCTTTCGAAAGAATTTATTTGTATCAAACAGAAGAGACTTTTGGTGTTGAAAATAAGAGATAGAGTTGAGTCAGCAGGTGCAAACACATTAGAGTTCAAACGTTTGTTCCTTTCATAAGGCTCTCCTAGATCTGCTTCAATGTCAACGAGAATAATCATGAATGCAATCTCAGCACAGTCTCGTTTGATTTATTAGTTGATCCACACAAAATCGTAGGAGCCTTTATCAAAGTCTGTAGATCAAATATGGTCAGCCTGCAGGCAAACTGTTGACAATACAAATTATATTAGCTAAAGCTGAAGTGTGGGCTATGAAGCAGGATTAATGCAGAGGCAGATAAAGAGGTTTTAATCCCCAGATCCCCCTGTCACCTACATTAGYAGACCCTGACCCAGATATATAAAGCTCGAGTGTAGGAGCTTTTTTTTTTTTAAAGCCAAACTGTCAAACCACTGTTGGAGCACTGTCTGAGTGAAAGTCCCCCTTTGCTTTCTGCCTCTTTTTTCGTTTGGAGTTAGGGAAGGCAACAAGGCCGCATTGAAAGAGGAGGGTAAGACGACACCGCCCCGTTTTGCCAATTATGCCACAGAGCTAAGAGAGGAGCCCTGTGATGGCGGGCGGGGGGGGGGGGGGGGGTACGGCGGAACATCTGTGTGCACAGTCCACTCCGCACTGCAGAGCTGCAATCGCTTCATCTGAGTCCACCTGTCAGGGCTGAGGGGAAAACTGACTGATGAGCAGAGGAATCCATTTAGCACCGTCAGCATGGAACAAACAAGAGGCATCAGTTTCTTCCATCGTTCATGAGTTCCCAAGATTAATGGGTTTTGTTGCTGACAGCTCAGATTCAAATGCAGCATATACAAAAGTGCAAAACCATGAATGCGGCTACCCTTTAATAAGTCACTTGAGCTCTGAGGCCGGGGTGTGCAGGGGAGGAACCGAGTCTCACCCCACCTTTCACACCGTCGGCCACTCACTCGCTGACTTTACGCTCCTCAGACGTTTGTCGACCACGGGACCGAAAAAGACTTCATCCGCCGCGTGGCTTTCGGCTGCTGGACGCTCTCAGGCAGTAGTTGGCAAGTCTAGAACCACCGGATCCATCTACCTCACCAGTGTGAGTTCTACCATTGCCAAACACCACCAGAGAGCTGTGGCGACCCACACACAAAACACGATGGAAACCCCACCGAGAACGATGGCGTCTCTCTTTATGTATACCTAAAAATCACCAGCTGAGCAAAAGTGATGAAAGTCTGTCTCTTCCTATATTGGCACTACACATAATTGCTCAAAGTATGTATACAGAAGCAAAAATGTGCTAGTGCCAAAATGGGCAAAGAAGAGGAGTGGTCATCCAAGCAGCTGTCRTCATTGAGACACGCATGGATGAAAGGATGTTGTCTCCAGGAGCAGGTCGCAAACAGCTCAGGCAACAGCACCAGAGCCATTACATCATATTCCCCGCCCACCCACAAGCGCARAGGAGAGGACGGCGACCGAAAGCACGCCAACCAAAGGCGAACACGGTCAAGTGGTTCTTTCTCTGCTCTGTTTATGGCCCTATGGTAATTCACTGATAGTGAGCTCTCACAGTGAATTCTACCAGTGCCATACACAGAACAGGAGTCAGTATCACCCCCTCAAGACCACCGATTCCCACCTGAGAGGAGCAGAAAACAGCCAGGAAGAAGGGAGAGTTAGAGGAAGTGAGAGTAAAAGGAGGCTAGCCATGTCCACGATGCTGCAGTGACGCAGCTTGGCCCCGGGAATGCGCGGCGGCACTGCAGTGGATTGATCCAGACATTAAGTAACAGGTCAAAGACTACTGTGTCTCCTCTAAATAGAAGTCCGGCCAATCCTGAGGCGGAGGCTTGAGCCGACGCCGTCGACTAGCTGTTCACCGCTAATCACCTGTGCGCCCATCTTTAGATTTCCAGGAAGGCCGAGTTATAATTAACCAGCGAGGCAGACGGCCATTGTTAAAGCTTRCAAACACG